ACTGAATCCCCCTGGGTATCATCCTCTCAGGCAGAAATGAAGTGACTTGTGTTCTGAGTTCAAAGAATTAACAGACTAAGCAATTGTACTGGAATTCTCCTTCTAGTCCCTTCCCTCTCCTCCCCTCTCTCTTCACTCCTTCCTTCTCTCCCCTTCTTCTCTTCCTCTTCCTCCTCCTCCTCTCTTTCTTGCTCCTGTCAGTGAGGTCTTCAACAGGGACCTAACGGGAGGGCTGGTGAATGAGAGGGACAAGGGACACAAAGAATGAGAGCAAGACAGGGCATCTGATCACGCTCCAAAATTTTATTTTCCTCTTTAGGCATATATAGAAGGGGGCAAAGGGGGGTGCAAGCAGGGAGAGGATTTTAGTCATGGGTTGTTCAACTAGCAGGGAATGTTGCTATGGGGATTATCTACTCTTTCCTAACTGCCTAATTGCCTAACTGCAGCTCGTTCACCTGATATCTGAGAAGAGGTTCTGGTATCTGTGGGAAGAGGTTCTGGTGCTATGGAGACTTAAGCAAGGCCTAGATCTAAGAAAAGAGGAGAGAAGCCCAAATATGGTGCCATGTGTGTCAAGGGTCGCTTAGGCTTATGGCTCCCGTCACTTTCTCATCCTCACTCTCCCCCTTCCTTTTGAGTCAAATTCAATTGAGGATGAAGTATCCTGGAAGATTATTTGTGGTGTTACAAAAAATCTTTGCATATTCGCTCCAGAAATAACCCGAGCAGGTTGGTGGTCTCTTGACATCTCAAGAACTTCTGTAGGGAGTGAGGAACTTCAGGGACTCCATGACAGGCTCATTTTCTCTGGTTTAGGTAACTTCCTGCTCTTTGTGCACAGACCCATACGGGGTGTTTGACCAGGGAGAATCTCCCACAGTACCTTTCTGCAAGGTCAGCATCCTTGCTTTTCTGTAGGATTTGATTCCAGAATGGAGGTGCTGGCTCTATGTGTACCTCTTCATTTAGGTTGAGTTTCCTTTCCCAGGAGAAGCCTTCCTTTTCCACCAGCAGTACAAGGCCTCAGGGGTGCCAGCCTCTGCCCTGTGTCCTGGCCCCAACCAGAAGCATGTCCCCTGTCCCTGGACTATTTTCTCTTCAGCAGAACACAGAGTGGAAGTAATAAACCTGAAAATGCTTTCTGTTCTCCCTTGGGCTAAATGAGGTCTGTAAGGGTGTAATGGAGACCAGATAACAAGGGAGGGTTCTGTTAATCCCAGCTTCTGTTAAGTGGGCCAGTCTCAATACATTTTTTTTTGTACAGTAGTATGAAGAAATGGTTGATGATGTTGACTCAATGTAAGATAACAGTGACATCATCAGCAAGCACTGAGCTAGCAAACACTGAGTTATCCCTTTACCCAGAGCCAGGTACCCCACTAAAACTCAACCTAGGGAAATAGGTAGCCCAGTTATTTATATTCAGCTCTGTGTCACACAGTTTCAATGTTTGAATTCCCAAGCTCTTCTTCTGGGGTAACATCTGTCTCATCTTTGTTATGTGGCATTTAGGACCTCCCTCTTCCCTACTGACTGTGAGAGAAAGTCAAGGCCTGTAACCAGCCTGTCTGAGTATAGATCCTGGTTTACCATCAGTTAGCTGTGACCTTGACAAAGCACTGCCTTCTCTATGTGTCACTTTCCTCATCTGTAAAATGAGGACCATCACAGACCATCAAAGTACTAGTTGTGGGTGCTGTCAGCACTGTAATCATTATTATTTTTCTCATCTGCCATTTTTAAAAAGATTTATTTTATTTTTAAATTGCGTGTGTTCATGTGCATGTGCATGAATGTGCAAGCACATGTGTGAGCATGTGTGAGCACACAGGCATGTACATATGGGTAGCACTGCCTGTTGAGGCCAGAGTGGTTGGACTCCTCTGGAACTAGAGTTTCAGGTGGTTACGAGCTGCCCACCTGGGTTCTGGGAACCCAACTCAGGTCCTCTACAAAAGTATATACATACATACATACACACACACACACACACACACACACACACACACACACACACACACATATATATATATATATGTACACACACACACACACACACACACACACACATATATATATATATATATATATATATATATATATATATATATATATATATATATACATATGCACAGAATCGTCTAAATGTCCCCCAACATAGCAGCCTGTCTTAGTTAGGGCTTCCTTTTGGTGATAAAACAACCATGACCAAAAGGAACTTGGGGAAGAGCAGGGTTATTTGGCTTATGTATCCTGAATCACAGTCCATTGAGAGGGCCAAGGTAGGAACTCAAACAGGGCAGGAACCTGCAGGCAAGAGCTTATACAGAGGCCAGGGAAGAGTGCTACTTACTTGCTCTCCATGGCTTGCTCAGCCTGTTTTCTTATATACCCAGGACCACAAGCCCAGGTGTCACCACCCACAATGAGCTGGGCCCTCTCTCATGGTTCATTAATTTAAAAAATGTCCTATAGGCTTGCCTATAACTCAGCCTTTTGGAGGAATTTTCTCAGTTGAGGTTCCCTCCTCTCAGATGACTCTACATGTGTCTAGTTGACATAACAACCAGCTAGCACACAGTCATTTTGAGCTACAAGGATCCTGTACCTCCTGAAGTCTGTTGTATCTCAGTACCTTTGCCCATGTTATCTCATTTCCATTATTCATTCATCCTCAGTGTGGTGGTTTGAATGATAATGGCTCCTATAGACTCATATGTTTGAAAATTGGTCCCTAATTGGGAAGAATTGGGAGATGTGGGCCTGTTAGAGGAGGTGTGCCACTGGGTGAGGGATTCAAAAGCCTCAAAACAAGTCATTCCCAGCTAGCACAAAAGTTCCCCAACCCCTCACCCCTTCCTCCAACTTGTAGATCAAAAGGTGACCTCTTAGATTTCTTGCCATAGTTTCCTTACTCTGACATCATGGACTCTAACCCTTTGAAACCGTAAGCCCCAAATTAAACACACTTAGGATTTACTTTGGTCATGGTGATTTGTCTTGGTAATAGAAACCCCAACTAAGACGTTCAGTTGGGAAAAAATCCTCCTTCTTGCTAGGTACAGGTAAAATATCCCTACATCAGTAACCTTTCTGTAGTTGTCTCCTCTTTCTGTGTCTTTGTGAGCTCAGTAGCCTTGAACTATGATCTACCAAATGATTTACTGGCTAACCATTTAACCTAATTGAGTGTTTATTATATTACTGGATATACACCAACTGTTTTTCTTGTTTCACACACACACACACACACACACACACACACACACACACATGCTCTCTGGAGTAAAGTTATATTTTCTGTATCCATCTCCTGCTTCAGACTTTGTGGTTAATACATTTGTGTGTATTCATCTTTTGGATCTAGAAAATTGCTTAATTAGTACACAGTGGGTGCCCGACAAATGTCCAAGTGGATATATTTTACATTCAAAATATGTACATTCAAATAATAAGCTCGTAATAACTTATTCCTCTTTTCATAATCATAAGGCTGTACTAAATTTACTGTTCAACTTTTTTTAGGAAAGACAGAAGCAAGAAGAATGGAGTTAAAATGGCCTCCTACCCAGACCTAAAGAGCTGAGGAAACTTACTTAGGGGCTTACAGTTGTGAAGAGACTAAGGTGGACATCATCCATGTGAGTTTGGAGTCCAAGCTTTTACCTACTGCACTGCACTGCTGATCTCACCCCTGAACACACAGAAACACTTCTCTAAAGAAATTAAAATAGGGGCTGGAGAGATGGCTCAGTGGTTAAGGGCACTGGCTGTTCTTCCAGAGGACCCGGGTTCAATTCCCAGCACCCACATGGCAGCTCTCAACTGTCCGAAACCTCAGTTCCAGGAGATCTGACACCTTCATACCAATGCACATAAAATAAAGTTAAATAAATTATTTAAAAAATAAAGCTTAAAAAAAAAAGAAATTAAAATAGATTGGGAGAGCTAAAATTTGACCTTGAATCTACCTCCTCATATAGTGTTGCAATTCATGACAACTTTGTTTTTATAATTCTGTATTTGTGTATTTGTGTGTACATGCGGGATATATGTGTATCTGTGTGCATTTGTTCACCTGTGTGCCTGTGTATGTGGAAGCTAGAGCTTAATCTTGGGTGTCATGCCTCAGGCACCATCAACCTTGTCTTATTGAGACAGGGTCTCCTCTTGGCTTAGAGCTGCAGAGCAGGCTAGGCTGACTGGCCAGCAGGCCCCAGAGACCTCCCTCTATGCTTTCCTAAGGTGAGGTTATGAGCATGTGCCACATTGCCTGGGCTGTTCACACAGGCTCTGGGGATTGAACTCAGGTCCTTGTGCCTTTAAGGAAAGCACTTTACCAATGGAACTGTCTCTCCAGCCCCAAATCTACAAATTAAAAAATTTACAGTGCTGTTTTTTAGATCTTCATACTCTCAGTTTTCTGAAATAAATTAAGGCAATTCTGGCAAACATCAACCAAATAACAATTGGTAATATAGAAAGAGAACGGCTTCCAAACCAGACAATCATGATTTGGACCCAGCTAAGTCATTGGATGTGCAGCTAGGCTTAGGCTGCACAACTTTTCCTGGTTTTATTGCCTCTGTAAACCAAAGGTAATAAGAAACATGAGCAGCATTGTGAGGGGTTTAGAGGCAACATCATGCTGACACACAGAGGACTTGATTAATGCCAAATCTCTACTCTTGAGTCCCAGAAGATGATTGTAACCCCCCCCCCATGATTTGCTAAACAGCAGCAGGACAAATTTTTCACACGGCTTTTTGTCTCAATCCTTTATTTTAATTCTCATGAGAAGTTGGCTTCTATATTGTTATTTAGGTGCTTTTATAGTCACTTCCCTGGAATTCAGTCTCTTCTCTACAAGCTCTTAATATCTTTAGATATTAAAGAGAAAGAAAGAAGTGACATATTTAGGATGTTAGAGCTGTCCTCACCAGGTGGCCATTGTTCTCATTAATGTTCTTTGTTCTCCTTGATCAGCTAGTTTATTTTCATTGGACTCCCAAGTCCAGACTATACTCTTCCATTTTCTTGCAAGATGAAAGAAAGGAACCATGAGTGAGCCGCTGGACAGTCCAGTCAACGATTCTGACTTCCTGGATTATGTGGCTGCTTTGGGAAACTGCACTGATGAGCAGCAAATCTCATTCAAGATGCAGTACCTTCCTGCTATCTACAGCATCATCTTTCTTGTGGGCTTTCCGGGGAACACAGTGGCGATTTCCATCTACATTTTCAAGATGCGACCCTGGAAGAGCAGTACCATCATCATGCTGAACTTGGCCTTAACAGACCTGCTTTACCTGACCAGCCTTCCTTTCCTCATCCATTATTATGCAAGTGGTGAAAACTGGATCTTTGGAGATTTCATGTGCAAGTTCATCCGATTTGGCTTCCATTTTAACCTCTACAGCAGCATCCTCTTCCTCACCTGCTTTAGCATCTTCCGTTATGTTGTGATCATTCACCCGATGAGCTGTTTTTCTATTCAGAAAACTCGATGGGCAGTGGTAGCTTGTGCTGGGGTGTGGGTCATTTCTTTGGTAGCTGTCATGCCAATGACTTTTCTGATCACATCAACCACCAGGACCAATAGGTCTGCTTGTCTTGACCTCACGAGTTCTGATGACCTTACTACTATCAAATGGTACAATCTCGTTTTGACGGCCACCACTTTCTGCTTGCCCTTGGTGATAGTGACACTTTGCTACACAACAATTATTAGCACCCTGACTCATGGGCCTCAGACTCACAGCTGCTTTAAGCAGAAGGCTCGAAGGCTGACCATTCTGCTACTCCTAGTGTTCTATATATGTTTTTTACCCTTTCACATCTTGAGGGTCATTCGTATCGAATCTCGCCTGCTTTCAATCAGCTGCTCCATTGAGAGCCACATTCATGAAGCTTACATTGTTTCTAGACCACTAGCTGCCCTCAACACCTTTGGAAACCTGCTGTTATATGTAGTGGTCAGCAATAACTTTCAGCAGGCATTCTGCTCCATAGTGAGTTGCAAAGCCAGTGGGGATCTTGAACAAGCAAAGAAAGATAGTTGCTCAAACAACCCTTGAGTCATGTCATTTAGTCAAGGGTAGGGAGATACTTCAGTGGGTAAAGCTCTTGACATGCAAATGAAGAATTTTCAAAATCTACTTAAGTTGGGTGTGGTAGTGAGCACCTGTAATCCCAGGACTCCTATGGTGAGATGGAAATGGAGACAGGAGAATTCCTAGAGGCTTAAGGACCAGCTAGCCAACTGTACACTGTGACTAACCTCAAAGAGACCTTGTTTCCAACAAGATAGAAGGGGAGGACCAATGTGTGAGGTTGTCCTTTGAGCTCCACGTGCACACTGTGTCATGTATTCACCTCTCCCCCTACCACACAAGTGGGAACATATCATTCACACACACACACACACACACACACACACACACACACACACACACACACACAAACACACACACACTCATCAAATATCGATCAATCAATCAATCAATCAGTGCCTCCTGATAATTTATATATAACTTCCAATAAGATCCCCCTCAGTAGAACTCTAAGTAACTACAGTATATTCAGGTTGTTATGAGCCAAAGCCATGGGCTGGACTCTTAGGAGATCTTTGCGATATGTTTATTTAGATATTTGTTTGGGTAGAGGATGAGATACATGAGTGTCAATAAAGTATATATAGGATTAGAAACTATGAAACTCAGAGAATCTCTGTTGCCACCAATTTACTGGCTCCATATGAAAACCAGTGTTTGTACAACAGCCCTGTACTTCCCAGTGCTTTAATGTGAGGATGGGGACACCAAGCAAACTAGAAGGAAACAAAAGCCAAGGGTATCCTTTCGTACTAGCTTCCTGCCTTTCAGCCTTTGGGGCCTGTGTTCAATGAAATCCTAGATTATCCAAAAGCATCACTATGCCTTTCTCAATATTTTTACATCTCAGATATTTACAACTTCCTTTCAATTTTCTTGGACATTAGTGCTCTGAGTTTTCCTCTCAGTCCTAGTTAGTTCTTTGGATGGAAGGGAGACATTAGGATGCAGTTAAAAGAGAGTTGGGGGGATGTCTCTGTCAGTAAAGTGCCTGCTGCGCAAGTGTGAAGGCTTGAGTTTGGTCCCCAGAACCTGCACACAGAAGTGAGATGCAGTGGCATTCACTTGGCATCCCAGCTCGGGGCGGCAGAAACAGGCAGGGCCCTGGGGCCTGCTGGCCAGCCAGCCTAGCTGACTTGGTGAGTCCCAGCACAGTGAGAGATTCTGACTCAAAAATCGAGGTGTATAGCTCCTGATGAATCACACCGAGGTTTTCCTCTGGCCTATGTCTTCTCTGTATCCTAACAACTGTTGAATTTATAAATCACATTAAGTTTTATTGGCAATTGTCAACATGTCCTTGGGAAAGAGGAGACATATTGATGAAATATAAACGCTTTCAGATATCCTATATTCAGTAGGTATATCAAATCTAACGCTGCTTTGGTTTCCAGGGAGAATTCTCCAGGAAAGACTCTCTTTGGTTATCTTTATCCTTTATACTAATAATGAAGATAATGTCTGTAGAAACAGTTAAAGTTATTCTTGGATTATGTGTGTGCTTAATTATCAGTAAATATAAATATTTGAGAAAATAACTGGGCTAGATATTTTAAAACCTAATGAATGTGTTGATACAATAATAAACTTTAAAAAATCATTCTCTGAACTGGTCATTTTATCCCCATGAAAATGCAACTTATTCATTATTATGTTGACAACAGAGTTATTTTCTCCATGGTTAGAAAGCTACAGGAACTTTAAAAATCAGATGCATGGCTGGGACACAGGGCTGGACCACAGGGCTGGACCACAGGGCTGGGACACAGGGCTGGGACACAGGGCTGGACCACAGGGCTGGACCATAGGGCTGGACCACAGGGCTGGACCACAGGGCTGGGACACAGGGCTGGGACACAGGGCTGGACCACAGGGCTGGGACACAGGGCTGGGACACAGGGCTGGAACACAGGGCTGGAACACAGGACTGGAACACAGGGCTGGAGCACAGGGCTGGGACACAGGGCTGGGACACAGGGCTGGAACACAGGGCTGGACCACAGGACTGGAACACAGGGCTGAACCACAGGGCTGGACCACAGGGCTGGACCACAGGGCTGGGACACAGGGCTGGAGCACAGGGCTGGAGCACAGGGCTGGGACACAGGGCTGGGACACAGGGCTGGGACACAGGGCTGGGACACAGGGCTGGACCACAGGGCTGGGACACAGGGCTGGGACACAGGGCTGGACCACAGGGCTAGACCACAGGGCTGGGACACAGGGCTGGACCACAGGGCTGGGACACAGGGCTGGACCACAGGGCTGGAGCACAGGGCTGGGACACAGGGCTGGGACACAGGGCTGGGACACAGGGCTGGGACACAGGGCTGGAGCACAGGGCTGGGACACAGGGCTTCGACATAGGAAAGGGGCTGTCAGATTCCAGTGACCTCCGAGGTTTTCTAGGACATCATGTCTGACCTAGACCGAAGAGATATTTGTGCAGCCCCTCTGCTGGCCAAGTAGGTCAGGATAGGGGAGAAAAGACGGTCTGGGGCCCTAGCCATGAACTTCTCTGGAGGGTAGCACCCCATTAACCATTCTCTCTCAGGCTTTTCTATAACTCTTGGAACAAGCTATTTCAATAGAAACCCTGACTTACCTCTCCATGGCTATATAGCTTGGAGTAGCCACCGCCAGTCCACTTGGAACCTCACGGCTTTCCGCTTCTCTTCTCTTCCCTTTAGTGCCAGCCTGGCTGCTGGACCATCTCTAACATGTAGCTATGAGAAAGTTGTTATTTTTGGCTTTAAAAAATTTCAATTGACTTATGAGCCCCATCAGGATGATTTTCGGGTAAGAGGTGAGTGGAATCTGTCAAAGGCTGTTTCTAACCCTTTAACTCCTTTCCTTCCTCTCCATCTTCACTCTCTCTTCTGTCAAAGATCTCTTCCATCCGAGAAAAGCAACCTTATCCCCATCCATGCCCATTTTATCACACACACACACACACACACACACACACACACACACACACACACACACACACACACACACACACTAATTTCTTTGGTTCTTTCTTTCTTCCCACCACAGTACAGGGAAATAATTTTTATTCTGTTACAGATTAGCCTGCAGTATCTATGGCCTTATTTTGTTATTTTAGGGACCAACTTCACACTTAATCCCACTTTCTCCGTTTTTAGCATTTGTATTTCCCTGGATAATTGACCTCTGCTCTGGGGCATGCATGATTTTCCATTATCCCTCCAACACCCCTCTTGATCATTATTCCTGTCACTCTTTACCTGACCTGCTTCCCCCAGGGACCAGCATATACTGATAACTGTCTGCCCTCCAAGGCCCTGCTGATTGAACATAATCACAAAGATCCAAGCTAAATTGAATCTAAGGGGTTATTTTTATTTTCCAAAGTATAGAGTTCTGGAATAATTGGGCTAGAGGTTGCATTTTGAACTGAAGCCCCTCCCTGAAAAATAACAGAGGATGATACATACTTTTCAGGCTACTGGGGACCCTCAAGACCTTGCCTCTTGCAGACATCCATGGACAGAGAAAAGGTAAGAACAAAAGAGTAGAGATCAAATGTGTGCACTATAAGGAAACTGACTAGGTCTGCTCAACCACGAGAGGCAGGACACTCAAGTCTGGCTGCACCCCAGAACATCTAGAAAAAAGGTACTCTGATCTTCGAGACACAATAGCACCCCCACTTTGATTGTGAATATGCCTCACAGAAATGTTCAGAATCACAAAATTAGAGAAAGGAACAAAATGACAATGTATCTGAACACACTTCACAGTGATTAACACCCTGCCATTCTTGTTTTTATCCGTCTCTGCCTTTGTTGATGTATTTACATTTTCACGAATATTTAAGGGCAGGTTCTGGACAACATATAGTTTCACCTATACATGCTTCAATAACGGTCTCTTGCAAGGTATGAGAAGAAAAAGTTTCTTTTAAAAATAAGAGGAGCTAGGGGAACTCTCCTCCACTGCTGGTGGGAATGCAAGCTTGTACAACCACTTTGGAAATCAATATGGCGCTTTCTTAGAAAATTGGGAATCAATCTCCCCCAAGATCCAGCTATACCACTCTTGGGCATATACCCAAGAAATGCTCAACCACACCATAAGAGCACTTGTTCAGCTATGTTCATATCAGCATTGTTTGTAATAGCCAGAACATGGAAACAACCCAGATGCCCTTCAACTGAAGAATGGATAAACAAAATGTGGTACATATACACAATGGAATACTACTCAGCAGAAAAAAACAATGGCATCATGAGGTTTGCAGACAAATGGATGGATCTAGAAAAAATCATCCTGAGTGAGGTAACCCAGACTCAGAAAGACAAACATGGTATGTACTCACTCATAGCAGGATACTAGACATGAAACAAGGATGAATTGTCTGCTACTCACATCACCAGGGAGGCTACCCGGAAAACAGGACCCCAAGAAAGACACAGGGATCACCCAATGACAGAGAAATGGAATGAGATCTACATGAACAGCCTGGACATGAGTGGGGGTAATGAAAGGCGAGGGTCGAGGGAAAGAGAGCTTGGGGGAGCGGGAGATCCCAGCTGGATCAACAACAGAGAGGGAGAACAAGGAATAGGAGACCATGGTAAATGAAGACCACATGAGAACAGGAAGAAGCAAAGTGCTAGAGAGGCCCACAGAAATCCACAAAGATACCCACACAACAGACTGCCGGCAATGGTCGAGAGACAGCCCGAACTGACCTACTCTGGTGATGGGATGGCCAAACACCCTAATTGTTGTGCTAGAAACCTCATCCAACTACTGAGGGATCTGGATGCAGAGATCCATGACTAGGCCCTGGGTGGATCTCTGGGAGTCCAATTAACGAGAATGAGGAGGGTTTATATGAGTGAGAATTGTTGAGACCAAGGTTGGATAAAGCACAGGGACAAATAGCCAAATGAATGGAAACACATGAACTATGAACCAATGGCTGAGGGGTCCACACTGGATCAGGCCCTCCGAATGGGTGAGACAGTTGATTGGCTTGATCTGTTTGGGAGGCATCCAGGCAGTGGGACCAGATCTTGTGCTCATTGCATGAGTTGGCTGTTTGAAACCTGGGGCCTATGCAGGATTGTTTGGCTCGGCCTGGGAGGAGGGGACTAGACTTACCTGGACTGAGTCTACCAGGTTGACCTCAGTCTGTGGGGAAGGCTTTGCCCTGGAGGAGATGGGAATGGGGGGGGGGGGCGTTGGGGGGAAGGTGAGGGGGATGGGAGGGGGGAGAACAAGGGAATCCGTGACTGATATGTAGAACT